GATGAGTGCCGGGTCCCAAACTGACCTGGGTCTCCATGGTGAGTGCCGGGTCCCAAACTATGAACCTCATTCTTATTGGTAAGAGTCACCCCCCACAAAGGAGAGGGAGTTTCCCAGACCACTGATTTCTGGGACATCCACCAGAAGGACCTCCATCTTGCCCGGATTCAGCCTCAGTCCATTCACCTGCATCCATTGCTGAAAAGCCCTCAGGTAGTGCTCAAGGGACAAAACAGCATACACTGTTGTTGGAAAAAAGGAGATATAGAGCTGAATATCATCAGCGTACTGATGACACGAAGCCCCACATTCCCTGATGACCCCTCCCAGTGGCCTCATATAGATGTTAAATAGCATTGGAGAGATAATTGAGCCCTGCGGAACCCCACAATTGAGGCTCACGGGGCCGAGAAACTCTCTCCAATCTGCACTCTCTGGGGACGGTCCTCCAAGAAGGAACGGAGCCAGGCAAAAGCCAGGCCACCAATTCCCAACTCAGAGAGCCACTCCAGGAGAATATCGTGGTCAACGGTATCAAATGCAGCTGAGATATCGAGGAGGACCAGCAGAGACATTTTCCCCTGTCAGCCTCCCTCAGTAGGTCATCAAACAGGGCAACCAATGCTGTTTCTGTCAGGATTTTGTTCTTTTGGTGAACAAGGAGTTAAATTTTAATATTGTAATGAAGTAAAGAGTCACAAATGTAGAGTAAAAGCCAATGTAATGACTAACAGCATACAGGTGTAATAAGCTGATGTAATACTTGATTGTTAAGCAAGACCAGCTGTAAATGGTGAAATGTGATTGGTTGTCCTGGGTATAAATGTAACAGAGACAGAACAGACCACTTGCCACTCAGCAGTAAGTCTGGTGGTCATTTACTTCTATGTCATTGCTCTGAATGTTATGCCAAATGCATATTGCCTTGTATATATCTATATATCTGTGGCCATATCTAATATACTATATTATAATCACCAAGAACTCTCTCATGTCATTTTCTCCCCATGTCTAAGTCTCTTATTTTGCTAAATTTAAGTGGGAAGAATGGAAGCAGTCTGATAAGAGGGTCTGTATAGCTAGTGTCCTTAAGTTTCAAGGCTTGTGTTTCACACAGAGTGCTCTTGCCAAGCTTCACATTCAACCAGACTCTACAAAGTTTTCTTGAGGCCAGAGCCTCATTAAGCCTCTGGAGTTTTGGCCCCACGCCAACAGTTTCCATGTCATGGTGCGGCCTGAAGCCCGGCTGGAATGGATCCAGGACATTGGTTTCATCCAGAAGAGCCTGCAGCTGATTAGCCACCACCCTCTCAACTACCTTGCTGAGGAAACAAAAATTTGCGACGTGCCTATAATTACCAATATCAGCTGCCGCTAAGCTCAGTTTCTTCCTAATGGGCCTAATGAGTGTCTCCTTGAGACAGATCCATTAATTATTGCCGTAGCCCATTCACTGGAAAGCAAGACCAAAATCATTTACACTCTTGTATTCCTGATCACTATGTATGGCTGTGAAAGCTGGACAGTGAAGAAATCTGGCAAAAGAAACAAACCAAAAAACAACTGTTTGTTTGAAATATGGTGCAGGATGAGAGCTTTGCAGATACCCTAGACTGCCAGAAAGGTGAAGAAGGGGAGCCTGAACTATCTCTGGAGGGCAAAATGTTGAAAGTAAGACTTAAATATTTTGAGTACATCATGAGAGGGCAAGATTCTGTGGAAAAGACAACAATGCTGGGAAAAATCAAAAGCAGGAGAAAAAGAGGAAGACCAAATACACGATGAATTGACTCTGAATGAAGCTATAGGCTTGAATTTAAAAGAGCTAAGCAGGGTTGTTGAGGACAGGTAATTTTGGAAACCTGTCATTCATAGGGTCACTGTGAGTTGGAGACAACTTGATGGAAAATAACCACAGGCAAAAGCAAAATAAAAAAAAAATAAAGAAAACAAAACTACCGAACTATCCAGCAGTTCATTCTCGCCTTGTAACAGGATTCTTTAAAAAAAAAAACCTTCTCTACAATTTACTTTGATTGCCAGCACTGATCTGTGTTCATCATAGCTGAAGACTACAGATGGCTCTACTGATGAGCAAATATTGAATCACGTACCCACAGACGTGAGTGAGCCTTGCCCCACATTCTGCTGTACCTTCATATCAAGCAATTTAGTCAGGGTTTAATCACCCACCACATTCCCTCTTGCTGATTATTTTATAGTATTTCTGTCAATCTTTGCTGTCAGGCTTGTCTTCCTACTCAATGATCTTTGAATGCTCAAGATTGGGTTTTGTCACCCCATTCAATCTGTGGCCAAGAATGGTAGGGAAGATGTAGGAACACAGCCTTCTTTACAGATTTACAGGACGGCCCTGGCACGACTCTAAATTAGCCTTCTATGTTTTGGGGACTCCAGGGATCAAAAAAATGAATAATCTGAAATAGAATGCAAAGAGTTGCTAGAAGTGAAGGAGGTGACAACTATAAATGAGAGAAATTCCTTTTTTTTTTTGTACTGCAACTTCAGCAGCATAGTTGCTGTTCATGTTGTCTAAGGTATTCTGGAAGTTGCTGTCCAAAAAGTTTCTTTTCCTGTCCTTGGGGGAAGCTAATTGAGGCTTTGAAAGACAAAGAGACAAAAGCCTGAGTGTCAAGTTGTAACCTTTTATCTGCTTTCTTTGCTTTTTTTCAGTGTCTTCTCCTTTTGTCTTCAAATCTGTGGCCTAAATCTGAGTTGAAGGACTCAGAGTTTAGGAAAAATGAGCCCTCTTGAGTTAGAAAAAAAAATCTAGTGTTCTGCATCCAAACGTCTCACCCTTTTTGGAGCCCTGAAGCAGATTGGAAGGCAACAGCCGTCTACTTTGTTTCTTCACAAAGATGCCATCTCACCGAAGAAGCTGCCTGCAGTGTTCCGACCTAAAGGGTGTGCTACCGGTGTCTTGAGAACCTTCCATTCACTGGGGCCAGTAATTTCGCCAGGCCTCAGCCCTGCATCTGACTCAATCCATCATTCCTCTAATTCAGCAACACAATAGAAAAGCTGATTCTCAGAGACGAGGCTCTTCCTTGTATTTATGTGGTAGCTTGGAGTGTGTATTCCTCCTAACAGAACACTCTGGCTTTCTGGATGTGGGTGGACTGTAAATCCCATTAACCTTAGCCAGTATAGCAGGGAAGGATGACGGGAATTGTAGTCCCAACAATAGCTGGAGGACTACAAGTTGTCCATCCCTGTCATGGGAGTGCCTCTATTTGCGTGCCCTTCACAACAAACTAAATATGTGAGAAAACTTTTTATCATAGATTAGGGAGGAGAGAGATCTAACTTGAGATACTGGCTTTCTGTCTGGATTCTGTCTGCTGGAGATGTCAGTGGCTGAACAAGGCTCATGAAAGGCAAGTACTGAAGATAAGGATACGGTAGCTGAAGACTGATTTTGAGAAAGGGATAAAACAGGTTGGAGGTGGTGGGGCTGAGGAAATGAGGATCTGAACAATTGAGGGAACAGTATAAAATGGGAAGTTAGCCAGAGGGCATTGAGTAATGCATATGCATTTATGTACGGGAAGTAAGGAGGAACATAAAGGAGGATGTTGTGGACTGTTTATAAAGAAAAGGAAATGCAGAATGAATAGTGAATCTGGAACATGTTGCTGCAAGCTAATGGTCTGAGGACAACATAAAGAGATCAAGGAAGGAGGCCTATCTGAGGCAAAGAACTGCTATTCTACCACTTACGTGGCATGCATTTTTATATGTTAATGTTTATGTTGTTGCTAAATTTTATTGTATTTTATCATTTATAAACAGTACTTTATTGTTACATGTATTGTTTTTGTGTTGTGTGCTGTTTTGGGGGTGTCTTCGGAGAGAACAGCATATAAATGAAAATAACAATAAACCAGTTAGCCAGCCAGCCTGGATGAACATTTATTCCTATCAAAGGGGGAACCCCTCCCACAGTTAGCCCCCTTTGTCCTAGTGGTGGCGCTGTGGGCTAAACTGCAGAAGCCTGTGCTGCAGGGTCAGAAGACCAGCAGTCGTAAGATCGAATCCACGCGACGGAGTGAGCTCCCATTGCTTTGTCCCAGCTCCTCGCCAACCTAGCAGTTCGAAAGCATGCAAATGCGAGTAGATAAATAGGTACCACCTTGGTGGGAAGGTAAAACGGCATTCCCTAGTCATGCTGGCCACATGGCAATGGAAACTGTCTTCGGACAAGTGCTGGCTCTACGGCTTGAAAACGGGATGAGCACCGCCCCCTAGAGTCGGACATGACTTGCCAAAAGTTGTCAAGGGGAGCCTTTACCTTTACCATCCATTTTTATCTCTTCCTAGAAATAAAAAGAGCTTGAGTAGGAAACCTCTTCAAGCTGAAGGGCCAATTTCAATTACAAAGGAGTTTAGGCTAGGGCTGGATTCCAATGATGGGTGTGGCCAAAGCCGTAAGGACAGGACCAAAATCCTCACAATATTTTAGCTTAAAACTCTTCCTCCCTATAACTCAGCCTTAGGAGAAATATTTTAATCTTTTAGAAGTGGGAAAGCATTAGAAAGTAGGGAACCCATCAAATGATGGTGTCTTGAGAGCTGTAATGACTTGCGGTCCTAGAGCTTTATGTGATCTGTACTGGCTAGGGATTCTGGGAGTTGTAGTCCAAAACAAGAACATTTCCAGACACTGATTTATACATTGCAGAATTACATGCTGAGAGCAAGCTTCAGGTTTCACAACTTGTGAAGGGTTTACTTGAGGACTGACACATATCTCAAACTAAATGATATTGGGTTAATTCTGTAGGTTAAAAACCTTTCGTACATGAAGAATATGCCATCACATCTATGTATAAGTTGAATCCACGAAAGGTATCAAATCAGTGTTCGGCTCAGATACCAAAATAGTACCTTAAGTTCAGCATGTGACTGCTCACTTTTCCTTCCCAAACACACTCCACTCTCTTCCCACAGCAGCAGCTGCTGCTAAAAATAGATGATGATAAGCCAGAGAGAGAAAGAGGGGCTTCGTTCGAATTAGATCCTGAAGGGTACAAAGATTCAAAAGGCAGCAATGTACTCACTACGGTTTCTAAGTGCCGAGGCGCTGGTGTCCAACGCAGACCTTGTAAGAAAGAATCTGGGCAGTGTTGCTCACGACCTCTTCCCTCTTCTTTTCAAAGCAAGTTACTTACAGGAGCAGGGAGAAGTGCTTCATGACCTCGTGGAAAACTGGCCACTGCCGGAACTTAATGTTGGAAAGCTATTGGGAAAGACCTCCGATCACCAGGAAGACATCAGCAGTAGAGCTTGTGCGGTGTGTCTTGCCAGCTGCCTGACAGGACTGAGAGACTATGTGATGAATTGTTCCTCACCCTATGCCAAGAGGCTCAAAATTGTGGACTTAACCGGCATAAAGGATGTTGAAATTCAGTTATGCAAGTGTCGGAGAACAATGGGACGGTGGGCCAGAACAGAGCTGCTCTCAAAGATCTGTTACGATCTGCTTGTTGACATGGAGAGGCTGCCGTTCAATCCAGAGGTTTTTGAGATTTCCGTTGATGTCCTCATAGATGTCTTTGTGACTGAGCGAAGCTATGAGCTGGTTGTCCAGGCCTTGCTGACGAGGTGCCACTGCCCACTTAAAATACGCTGCAGGGCCTTCAGAGTGGACAGCCTGGCCCTTAGGAAGCTCTTCTACATTATAAAGCTCGCAGAGCCCTCTTCACTTCGCAAGTTTGAAGTTGTGCACAATGTGCGACTGGAAATGGGACATTTGCAAGTGCTGTTGAATAATGTTCAGTTTCCTCAGCTGACTTCACTCACACTCCCAGCAAGGACTTTTGATGTGCGAAGTTTCACTCCAGAGGATGATGCCGATCTGGTGAGAATAGGTGAGAAGCTGAGCCAGATGACTCGACTGACTGAGATAAGTGTGGCATTTTCCACTTTGACAGGAAAGATCCGCAAACTGCTCAGGTAATAGCATTCTAAATACTGTTTATTGCCGAGACGAGTTGCCACATAGCAGAACAAATATACTAGGAAAGTATGAGGTCATCATTCCAGAAGGGTTCCTGCTTTTGGGAGAAAAGCATAGTGATATTCGTATCTAACATTAAAAAGGGAAAACGAATAGGCTTCATTATGCTGAGTCATTTCATTGGCCCATCAAGCTCACTATGGTCTACCCTGGTAGTTGGTCTCCATGGCCTCATACAGGAGTCTTTGCCGACCACAGGGAGGACTTATATAACTGTATTATAACAAAAACAACAGAAAGTCTTGTGATACCTTAAAGACTACAAAATCTTAAAACTACCTAAGCTGCTTATGCTTTTGAGGAAGGGAGCTACCATCTGTGAAAACTTTACTCAAATTTACTGCATTAGTCTTTAAGATGCAACAAGGCTCTTCATTGTTTTCGGTACAACAGATACGAATAGTGTCTCTTATATTTTTGCTGCAACACAGCTGTCCTCCTAGAAATTTCTGCCTGGGTATGCCAAGGCTTTAATCCGGGGCCTTCTGGAGGCAAAGAAAGCTTGCATTTGGTCTGTTCTCAATGATCACACATGATAGGAACAGACTCAACCAGAGCAATCCTACCTGCACTAATAAAATAGAAGCTTCTGGGGCTTAGAAAGGTGCAAGTAGGAATGTTCTGGGGATGGTTTGGTTTACTCCAGTGATTACATCGTGGGGTCACCAGAAAAAGGAGTGAAGCAACCCAACCTCACAGTAGCCCAAACAGAGGGTTAAATGCCTGACTGACTGTACCCTAAACCAAAACCTACTATGCTTCATTTGTAGAGTACTTTAAAGGTGTGAAATGCACAATACCTTGATTCGTGTTCAGTATCAATGATTTTATTATTAGTGATCCATCATATTAGAAAGCAGGGTTGAAGGCTCTCCCCCAGTTTTCATACATTTGATTGTGAATATTGTGATTTTACTGCCTTCCCCTCATTTGTCTTATTCTTTGAAAGTGCCATGCTATTTTGACTTGATCCTGTTTACAGAGATTGGAAATAAACTGTGAAATTTATTTGTTTTCAACCTCTGGAAATTGTATGATTACTCAACTAAACAATTATTTAAGCATGAAGGCAGGCAAATGGAGGCATCTAATATTTAAAAAAAGCTTTCAAAAACAACGTGAAAAAAGCTTTCAAAAACAACATTAAAATTTTGCTTTTGGCCTAGTATTTTCAAAATGTTGGATGTAGCAGTGTGCTTGTCCTCCTATTTAACATAAATGTAACACTTTTAAGGTTAGTTATTTAAACTTTACAGTTTATTTCCAGATTCTGATCTTTCTATTTAATTGACCAACAACTAAGGATGGATTTGTGTCCGTGCTCACTATGGCTATAATTCTTCTATTGGCTTTTCACATCCAGGTTCCACCAAAACTAGTGAGATATCTTCCGCTTACAATGTTATACTGGCATTTGTTGTTTGTAAGACTATTTAAGAACTATGCAGTAAAAATGTAACTGTGAGATTATTCAGCTTGTTTTTATAATTAACTCTACAGCCCACTGAAGTCCCCACTGAAAGTGCTGGATGTTTCTAATTGCTCCTTAAACCACGTTGACATGGCTTATTTAGCCAATAGCCTCCATTCCAACCACCTGGAAGTTCTTGACATCAGTGGACATGATGTGGCTGAGCTATACCCATCCACCTTCTTCAAACTTCTCAACCATTCATCTCACACGCTGAAGAGCCTCACCCTTGAGGAATGCAACATTCAAGACATTCATATGAACATGCTGATTTTGGGATTAGTCCCTTGTAGGAAACTGGAAGAGCTGAAGTTCCTTGGAAATCCTCTGTCTTCTCGAGCACTGAAATGCCTTTTCAATGTTTTCACTGATTTTCCCAAGCTGAAATATATTGAATTCCCAGTTCCAAAAGACTGCTATGCAAGCGACGTAGGTTACCCTATTGATGAAGCAAATCTTTCAAAATTTGACCATCGGAAATATGAAATAATAGTGGAAGAACTGAACATGATTTTAAGACGGGCCAAGCGGGAGGACATTAAGGCCTCGACACCCCTCTATGGAGGTTACGACGCTGCGATCCAAGAAACAGGCAACGAACTAGGGTCGTCCTTGCTGAATTCTTTCAAGGAGACCTTGCAAAATTTCTGCATGGCTCTTCAGAAAATGAGCTGAATGAATTCTGAAGCTTTATAAATTCATTAATGAACTGCAAACATTAATCTGTGCAATTTATTTTGATAGTATATATAGGATACATTTCTGCTGCAGAGGCATCCTGCTGTCCAAGCTCTGATGAAACGAAGACCTGCTATAGATGTTGGGGAGCTACTTTCCTCCCTGACTTCTATAGCAGCAGCTTATTCCTGCAGCAAGCTGCATCCTTCCCCATTCTCCTACCTTAATGAACCTTCAGGAAAAAACTAGAACTTCCTGTTGCTTATGGCAGACTACAGCAGCAAGTGGAAAACTTTCATTTTTCAAGTAAACACCCAGTACTTATGCTAAATGATGGTTGTTCTAGGTTGCTATTTTTGTTGTTTTGCACTGAGGCATTGGAAGGCTCTGGAACAGCCCAGAGAGCCACAAAAATGCCCCCATTGGTCTGTAGGCAAGTCATGGATCATGTTTTGCCCACCTCAGCCCTAGATTCTTACACTCAGGAGAAATTCCACATGACAGGTTCTCACTTGGAGCTAAAACAGCTCCAGACTCCATGCATTTTGGAGTGCTCAGAATTCAGCTGAGACTTTCCTGACAACCTCTTTCCTCTTACCAGAGATCATAGACAGCTCACTGACAGAGCAGGTGGCATTCCTTGCGTCAGCATTTCGGGATGAGTCCTACTGGTGTTTGCCTAAATTCTGTGTAACTTACTGCAACTAAATACAGATAACTGATGAAGTCTTGTGGCATGCCTCGGTCATGTGCCTAGTCATGTGACCAATTGCATAACTGAGATCCCCCCAGCACTAATCAATTAACGCTACTTAGCTGCAGTAAGTTATACAGACCGTACTCAAGCACACCGTTAGGCTTCCAGTTATTCTGTATCTGTGTCCCCACTTTCTGATACTGAACGGTTCTTCGTATGTTTAATAGTAATTATGCCATAATTTAGAGCAGTCAACATGCAATTAAACATGTTATCTCCTAGGATGTTGCCTACCTGTATTTGATTATTGGGCTTTTCTTGGGAGCAAGGGTTTTAATTACATCTAGTATGCTACCCACTACTATACAATGGGAACCTTTGAGACTGGATACTAAAGTGCTAGTTTAAGAAGCTGGCCTTGTGGCACAGTGGTTAAACTGCTGTACTGGAGCTAAAACTGTGCTCATGACTCCAGGTTCAGTTCCAGGTAATCTGGTCAAGACTCACTCAGCCTTCCAAGGTCAGTAAATTGAGTACCCAGATTGAGGGAGGGGCAATGTGTATCCTAACTTGAAGACAGCCTCAAGAGTGCTTTAAGTGCTATGCGGTGGTATATAAGCAGCACATTTTGCTTTTATTTTCCCAAAACAGCTGTTATGTACTATATTCTTTAGGGGAAGAAAGTCAGTAGGAACCTTCAGCAGAACACAGAGACAGGAGGAAAGATGGTTGATCATTCAACCACTTTCCCAGATAATGCGTGTGCACGATGAAAACACAATGTTCTTCCCAGACTCTATAGAATCTTGCTAATATCTTGCTAAATGTGCATTTGAGTCAATTACTGGTGAACAAAGGGATCATTATTCCCAATTACGCCTTCAGTCAATTTTTTTTAACAAAAAGGCGATAACAGTGCATATAAAGTAGGAAGGCATTCACGGGGATCTGATTTTTAAACAGCTCTGTTTCCTGAGTCATCGTTTTAACCCAAAATGAAGTAGACAGAAAGCTGGAGTTGTGTAAGTGCCACTGCAACAGAAACAAAGTTTAATGCAGATGCCAGACAACAACAAAAACAATCAGTTAATTGGTTCATCTCAGACAATCAACAATATTGCTTGGACGAAAAGAAGCAGGAATGGCTTTTCAATCTTCATTTTAGATATGTTTTTAAGCTGGTGAGAAAATCTTTCTGAAATCTTTTATAAGGACATCCAAGTTCTTTGTCCATTTTCATGCCTGCAGGTTCACGTCCATCACATTTGGTGGCCCTTTAATCCCTGGATAGTAGAGCATGACAGCAGTAAACCCAGAGTTTGTAGTGCTTTGGATTACAACTCCCAGAATTCAGCAACTAGCAGTTCTGCACTGCAGGTGCCAGAATTCCACAGCCGGCGTGTTCATTGTCTGTAGTGGGTAGGGGGTGCCGCGAACCATAATCTAACAAAGGAATGTTTCCAAGATCTGAGTAAGCAGGTAGGAGGAAGGAATATATCAACATGTTGTTATCGGTACATCTTGCCTGAAGACAGAATTGCTTTGGGCAAGTCTGAAGACCTCACTCACCTTTTTGCTCCCATTACCCCTGCTGTTGCCTTGCCTTGTCTCCAGTGAGGAAAGAGAGCATTACAAATGATGTGCATTCGTACAGAAAGGAAAGTACAGTATTGTGGGGTGTGGGAAGTGGAGTGGAGGGTTGCTCAATGGAGGGAATACAACAGTGATTTTATTCCTGTGAGGCCTTATATGTTCTGATCTGTCCTTGTAGTTAATGGGCCAAACTATACAATATGCTACAGCTTAAATGCCCTCCCAAGGTGGGCTCTGCAGTATATACAGAGTAGGGAGAAATGATTCACTATTCTTTCCAGCCACTATTTCTGTGAAACTTCCCCACCTCCCTGGTGTGATTCTAGCCCTGTCATGGATCCACAAAAACCATTTCTCAGACTACAGTACCTATTCACTTATTAATAAAGAGCAAATGCCTGCAAGAGAGACTCAGAAAAGAAAATGATCGGGCACTACTAGTTGTCACCTTCAGCCCACAACTGAGACCACTTCCATAAATCATAAGCAATCTGCCAGACATTATTGACAAGAATACTCTACTTTCCCCAGCCCTTGGTGGCAGACCTGTACGTGCCTACAGACAGGCCCGCAATCTGAAGCAACTGTACACAACGGACTACACAACACTGACTCTCAGATGCCATCTCTGTCCTCACACTGACTCTGGCAATACAACTGCAGGCCCCAACAATGTCACATCTAAAGTCAAGGGTATGTTTATATGCTCTTCTGCTTATGGGATCTGTGCCCACTGTCGGCTAACAATGTCCTTCTGCACTCTGCATAGGACAAACCGAACAATCTCTGTGCAAAATAATTAATGGATATAAATCTGACATCGCAAATGGCTACACACAAAAACCTGTTTCAGAACATTCCAATCTACCTGGACACTCTCTGAGTGACCATTTGGGGGGGGGGGACTACAAGTCCAAACTTGACAGAGAAAAAGCTGACATAAGGTATGTACAGATCCTTGCAGACTGATTTAAAAGGACTGAATATAAATCAAGGGTTCCTAGTCATTCCCAGGTATGAAATCCTACACTGATTCTTAGTTTGCCACTTGTGTCAACAATGCTATTATTACTTTCAGACTGATAACTGAAATTATTCAGAGCCCGATAGCCTATCCCTTCATCAACAAACCATTGCCACTTGGTTCATTCTCTGTATGGTTCATTCACCTGCTCATGAGGCCATGAATAGATATGACAGTCATATAGTCTTATGTCTGAAGAGGTGAACTGGAACAACAAAAACATATCAGCTAGTTTTTATGGTGCCACATAATTTTTTATTCTCATGGTTCCCCTGCTTCATTTTTTAAAAAAATGATTATGCTTGCACACATTAAGATAGCTACTTCTTCAAAAAGTAGCCCTGTCTTTGTGAGACAGCCATAAGTTTACACAGGAGACTTGAAGTCACTGGGAGAGGGTGGTTAGTTAGTTGAATCCACTGTTGGTTTTCTAGGACTGGATCCAAGGAAGTGTTGACACTTGAAAATAATCTTGTAATAAAATCTTACTTGTCTCTGAGTTGACCAGATGCAATGAAATGACTGGGCTCCCTTTCCTTTCATACAGTAGCTTCCAAATTCATGGACCAAAATGTTGCCGCATTGCAATCCCCAGAAGGTTTGACCATTGGTTTTGCTGGTTAGAGATTTGGGGAGTTGTAATCCAAGAACATCATGCTTAGGAACCCTGACTTCAATAGTTGTGTTAGATTATCTTGACAAGTACAGCTAGAAATGCAGGGATAAGCAAAGCTGCAATTGCTTGTATTCTCTCTTGTACAGTATGTAACTATTGTTTACTAGATGTCAGTTTCTCCTCTAGATTTTAAGGTTTTGGCTTCAGAAGTCTTGGCCATACATCAGATCTTATCTAAAGAGTTCCCATAGTGACACCAATATTATGTATCCTTTCTCATGGTGCTCTGATTGACTGGCTCATTGTTTCCCTAGGGAAGCAAAATGATTGTTCAGACAATTTACATCTGCAATGTAGATATGTGTGTGTTGGATTGTGTGTGATTGTTCCTCAGAACGAAACCATGTTGCTGAAACACCATGTTACCAGATCCAGAGCCCTCCATCTTTTTTAAGCAGTTGTCTTCATTCTATGTCAGGTCCAGATTAAGATAACTCACCAGTGATAAGCCTTGAGGAGCAAACCAAATTTAAGCAACTGTAATCTGGAGGAGTCACTGGGACACAGCCAAATAATGCAAGAATTTTAAGAGGAATGAGGGAGACACTTGACCATCAGCAAACTCACCATGACAGACTGCAGTTTATTGGCAAGAAAGAGGAATGGGACTGTTATGATGCCTGCTTTGGCTTCCTTGACTCTAAAAGATTGTAAAATATATCTGCTATCAGCCTCAGGGTGATTAATGCTCTTTCATATACTGAAAAATTAGCTCAGCAGAACATGACAAATTAGTTGCTCCCTATGTTATGTCCTGTTATATAGGAGCAACATACACAGGATCTGATTCTAAAAAGAATTTTTTTTAAAATCCAAAAAACATTTACAAAGTTAATTATGGAATCTGAAAGCCAGGAGTGCTGGTGGGCTCCAATATATGGCAAAATTGTCTCTCATACCCCACAATCCTACAAGGAGACATGCTTAGCCATTTTTAAAAATGAAAACCTCTTGAAAAGCTGCGTTGTGGGGTAGTCACATTGGGGCCTCTATGGGACATACTTTGCCTGTCTCTTTTATAGAGAATTCACTCAGAGTTCAGATGGAGTTCTGGCCATGCCTATTTGACCTCACATTTGCTCAGCATGAATTGAGGGTGCACCCAGCATTCCTGGTCTGATGAACTACTGAAGAAGTCATTAGCCATGGAGCACTATTTTAAAAACAGTAGCCAATGATCAAGGCATTAACTGACAGGCCAGCATTTCAAGAGAGGGAAGAATGCATCTCAAAATTCTAGACTGTGAATTAGGATGGCAAATGGTCTACAAATGTACCAAAATATCGTGGATTTCCCCCCCTCCCAACCAGCAGCATTTGATTTTGAGTGTTTTACAACAGCTTTCAATATTTTACAGTTATGGTAGCAGAATTTCTGGGCCAAATTCAGTAATGGTCCCAAGTAGAGCTGGCCATTAAAATGAATGGGACTTGCTGGTCAAAGGAGTATGCAAATTCCCCTCATTTCAGTGGCCCACCCCATAATTCCACATATTCACAATAATTCCTTAAATTCTTCTTTGATTACTTTTCATTATATTATTGAGGCACAAATCACTATTGGTAACAAAAATGACATAATCTACGACCATCCACTCAAACGACATCTAAAATCATTCTTTAAAAATTAACTAGAAGCCCGAAAAACCTCACCCTCCAAATGCAGCATTCCCACACATTATGTTGCATTTGAAATGTTTCTATGTGCTCTTCTTGGGGTGAAAAAGTAACATGTTCCAGTTAACCACATTGTTGTCACTTGTAATATCCAGGCTGTGGATGTTACATTTTTTAAAAAATGCAGTTGTGGTTTAAATGGATTCCTTCTACCTGGTGTCTATCACTAGTCACTTTCGTTGGTTGATCCATGATTTTAGAATTGTAAAGGGATCACTGTTCATTTAACACCCTGGGATGTATACATCCTCTTAAGGGGAGACAAGTGCCTAAAACACTTGAATTTATTCAGTATGTTATTTCTTG